ATGTTTACAGGTAAGCAACCCATATATAGTTTGCATGTCCACAACAGCGCAAGCTAGATAGCAGCAGCATCAGTATTGGAAATCAGTTTAATATAAAATGATGCCTTTTCAGAGCTGATAAATTCAGTTGCTGTGTAATGAATTCAGGAATATTTATCACTGAAATACCAGCAATTCGGCTAGACAGTGAAACTGAAACTATAATGTATGGAGTTATGTTGTCTTTCCCTTTATTAGACAGATACTAAGATGCACTTTGAAGTTTTGAATTTTTAATTTCTTTGGTAATTATGATAAATTTTAAGTTATTTTAAAGAAATTTTACCTATGATATCCATTTATATCTAGACTTACTTTTTATGTTGGTCTAACAGTTAGAGCTAATGTATATTTTTAAATAACTCATGTATATATGGTGAGAAGAGCTCTTCAAATGTATTGTCCACTGCTTGCTGTAAAAGTTGGAAGAATATGCTGGCAGTCTAAGAAAGCATTATAAAACATAATGTTCAATTTACATAATTTGTCTGAAGGGCTAACATACAACTTGGTTTTATTTAACTCAACAGATGCAGTTCATGTTGCTTTTTAGTCGTCAGGGGAAGTTAAGACTTCAGAAGTGGTATGTCCCATTGTCTGACAAAGAAAAGAAGAAAATAACAAGAGAACTTGTTCAAACAGTCTTAGCCCGTAAACCGAAAATGTGCAGCTTTCTGGAATGGAGAGACCTGAAGATTGTCTACAAAAGGTTGTTTTGCCTATATAATCTTGTAATGAACAGACAGAAGAGACCGGCTTTCCTGCCTTGACTGTGTGTGGGGGGGAGGGGGAGGATTTACATTTTTTTCTTAAATGACATTTATAACAATAAAGAGATTACTTATGTCTAGAATAATTTTCATGCATTTAAGAATGTGTTCATAAAGCAGGTTTGTATGAAACTGTTGTAAATGAGATACACATATTTGAAATTGCTTAAATGATAAAAGTTCATCACATTCCGTTTTTTATAAAGTAGGCATTGATTTAGCTGAAGTATGGAGAGATTGCAAATGTACTTAGATTTATTCTTCGATCAAGTGGAGGGTGAACCAAGAACTGTACTGACAATTCTAAAAAAGTGAAATTACTTCACCCATTTTGTTTCACTATATACAACTTGTACTTTGGTCGAATTATAAATCTCTCCTAGTTGAAAATTTCATGCCATACAAATCAGCTTGAAACACTTATTGAAAAGATGAAGCAGAACTGGGGATTATGAAGATACTATATCTAGCTAACAACTACACAGACCTGACTGACTTGTCATATTTGGAATCTGGAGGAAATGCTTCCTATAAGTTCAACTATCAAGATTATTTTTCCTAAAATCTACTGCTTAGTTTATGCATGCATAAGATCAGAAGCTCACTTCTGTTTAGTCTTCTTGAATATATATGATCTTGACTGAGAACTATTACCTATATTAGCATAGTAAATGTCTGACATAAGTGTGTTTGGAAGCACCAAATCACTCAAAAGGAATCATCATCAGTAGGCCCTCCACTTTTCTGGCAGTTAGGAGCATAGAACCGTTACAAATCCAGAAATCAATTTTAAAAAAAACAAAAAAACCTTGAAATCTGTATTTTCCAGGGTGACTCTGATCAACCTCTGCTGGAAGTTGACCATAGATTCACCCTGGAGGTTCTTAGAAAGAACATATTAATGAAATATGCAAAATGTAAACCCATTAATGTTGAGGGTGGATTGTAAAAATGATCGTCCACCACTCTTTATGGATCAGCAAGAACAAACAATACGTTACAGAGTTTGAAGAGCATATCAAACTGTTAAAGGAGCATATAAAACAGATATATATGGAGGACAACCAATATAAAAACCATTTGATAAACCTACCAAAAGAGGCTGGTCTTTAGGGCACTATATCCAAATGTTAAATCTCTTCTGCTTGTCCATTCCACAAATTTGGGGTGGCTGGGGGGAAAAAAACCCCTTTTCTTAGTAACAATTGCCAGCTTAGCCCTATTTGACTGAAGTATGTGTTCCCAAGAGGTATGAGTGTCGGGAGTGGATAATATGGATAATATGGGAGAAGGCAATCCCTTAGGTATCCTGGACCCAAGTCGTGTAAGGCTTTAAAAGTAACAATTTGTAACATGCCTGGAACTAATTGACAGTCAGCAGAATTATTTTACTATCAATCTAATATGATTATTTATAGATGTACCAGTGACAAGTCTGGCTGTCATGCTTAGCTAACTGAACTTGATACAGAGTAGCCCAATGAACAGCACATTGTAGAAGTTCAGCCTTGAGGCCAACAGTTCATGCTATCATCTTTAGATCATATTACTCTAGTAAGGGGTTGCAGCTGTATGGTAGCTAAAACAGATAATAAGCAGATTGGGCAGTCATATGTATCTAATGTGCCAGTTGGAGCCACAGATTCACAGGCACTCCCAAGCTGTGAATACAGTCTTCTAGGGGAGTGTAACTGTCCAGGACTAGCTGAGAAACCTCCAAACCCAGATTAGGATCTTTGGCAGTAAATAACTCCATCTTGTCATGAATCGTCTTCAGTTCATTTTTCTTTATCCAGCCCATTACTTCCTCCAGATATTCATTCAGAGGAGACATGCTTTCCCTAGCGATCAACCATGGTAGAACAATGAAGATGGAGGGAGGAAGTAACCCACACAGACAAAATACTACTGGGGAAGCAACATATGGAAATTGATAGCAGAGAGGAATACGCGGGCACGAGACTTTGGTCAGCTACTGAAATGTATGAAGTGGAAAGAAGGATGTGGCCTGTTGCTTACTTATAATGAGCCTGGGACACAAAATGAGGAAATAATTTTTGGTTTGGGAGATCCTGTGATGTATATCTGCTAAATCTAATCGTGTCTACCTCCCTCTGCCTTGTAAGGAGAGTCTGGGATGTGGAGTATTTGCTGAAGAACGTGTGCCCTTGCCTTGTGGCTAACTTCTGCTCAATTTCAGTTAAAATATAAAACTGTAGGTTAAATAATGATGTTTTAATGGGTTAGAAGAGGGATACAGTCCAGACATAAGCTGTCATTTAGCAGACTGATCACCTAAATGTGCTCAATTCTTTGAAACAGGCAAAACATCTTCCATCAGGCCGACCGCTCCCATTTGTGAGAAGTGATAGGATTGCTATCCAACAGTTTCAGGAGGGCCTCTCCCTTGGGACAATATGAACCTCTCATTTCATTGTGGCAGAGCAATTAAATTTGCTAATCGGAGAGGTTTCTGTTTACATGACAAGACACATTTCTTAAGACACAATAGTTGTTAAAGCCTTCATTTGCTACCAACAGTGCAGTGAAATAATTCATAATCATCATCATCATTATAAAACCTTACAGATTCATTCATAAATTATAAATCAAGTTTGAGTTCTGAAATGGCTACTTCAGTAATTGAATTTGAGCATTTGAGTCAAAAAACACATTCTTGCTTTAGCTGAACTCAGAAGAAACTTCTTTTGCCGGCTTTCATTTGTGTTTAAGAATCAACATCTTTTTTCTTCTCTGCATATCTGCTAATGACTAGAATATAGAGGTTAATTAAAGAATTTGCCAGCATAGACAGCATCACTGGAGTCATGCAGCTTCTTAATCTTGAGAAATATTTCTTCACATTGTGGTGCTATTATATTAGAACTAAAAATAGCTTTCTATTTAAAAAGTACTTTAAGGTCCAGTGAATTTAAGAAGAGTTAGATTACCATGCATACTTGTGTATAAGTCAAAGGCAGGTTTTGTAGCCAAAATTATGGATTGTCCTATGGCTCCATTCCATGGAGAAAGAAAATGCTACCTCCACTTCAGGGGACCAGCTGCCCCAGACCAACACCACCATTTTCCGAGTCCTGCATTCAAAAAGTCCTTTTGCCATTCTGTTCAGAGAAGGGGGTGGTTCCTTTTTTAAGGTACAGTATTAACTCTTAACAAAAAATGAGACAACCTTTGGTGACTCCCAGTAGAGTGGCAAAAGGTGAGAGATTGGCCTGTCCAAAGAGATCCTAAAAGAGGTCTACTTTTTAATGCTCTTTTGAGAGAGACACCAAAGAGCCGCCTTCCTTCTCAGTGAGGCTTGGGCAGCAATCTATACTCATAGGTTAACCCTTCGTGAAAACCCGTTTAAGGCAGGGTCTTCAGAATTCTAAAACGTTATATCCACTGTTCTTTACTCTCTCCTTGGTTTTTCAATTCTTGTTTTGCAAACAATTTGACCTTTTCTCTCTCTTTCAAAAAGTCAAGAAGTGATGCTGCAATAAGATGAGTGCTTTTAAAAAAGTTCTCATATTTTGCCATCCAGTGAAAGCGATTATAAGAGTTAAGGTCTAACACTTACATTCACCAATGGATATGTCTTCTCAAGTTTTTTAGGGTCAATTTTTTGGCTGAAGATTTTAGATTTAAACATGAGTGTGTGAGTGTGTGTGGTTTTTATTTTCACAAGCATTCTTATACATGAATAGGCATAGATGTAATTCAGGGTAATAACGGAAAATATACAGGTCGATTATCTCATATCCAAAATAGTTGCCACCAGAAGTGTCTTGGATTTCTGGTTTTGGAATACCTGTTTTTCCATATGTATGGAATGACAGATTTTAGAGATACCACCAAAGTCTAAACATCAAATGTATCTTATATGCACAGCCTGAAGGTATATTATATTCTTAATAATTCTGTGTATAAAACAAAGTTTTTATACATTGAACCAGTACAAAGCAAAGGAGTCACCAGCAGCCTGCCCATGTGGATAATTGAGATTTTGGAGTATTTTGAAATTCTGGATAAATGATACTCAGTCTGTTTCTAATACATGTAAATGTCTTCAGTATTTAACATGATTTCCATAGTTGTGCTTTCCTACTTTTTTAAATAGTATGCATAATAGCTATTTTTTCATGCTTACAAATAATGCTCCGTACAAATGAAAAACTAAAAATCAATTAAATCAGTTTTTAGCAAGTGACTGAACAAAGTACCATCCATATCCACAGATTCAACCATCCATGAAAATATTCATTAAAAATCCCAAAAGTAAACTTTTTTTGCTATTTTATATAAGGGACACAATTTTGTTACACCAACAATATTTATAATGGAATTTGAACATCCTGTGTTTTTGGTATCTACAGGGGGTCCTCGAACTAAACCTCAGTGGACACCAAGAGCCCAGTGCAATACATAGTGTATTCTTTCAGATAGCTTTAAGAATTAATCACGTTTTTCAATGTGGTATTTCAGAAATCAAATCCAAAAATCAAAACAACAGAATGTTCCTAGATAACTTGGCAAACTATACAGCCGATACTACTCCAGAAGCCTGTTTGAATAAGACAGAAATGTCATACATAGGTATCTGGCAATATATAGGGTTTCCAAAAGTAGCATATATGTATAAAATTGGAAATTGTAGCTAAATGTATCTTTATGTACAAAATATTATTTACAAAATTTTACAAAACGCACACATATAAAATAAAAGTTTGTTCATTTTTTCTATGCATAGAAACATTTGGCACACCCTGTAGAATTACATTATTAGACAAAAGTTCATTATATAGAATTTTAATAGTCCTTGTGAAAGAGCTGACTGTAACTTAACAACTCTTTAGGAAGAGAATGCCAAATAATTGTAATTGTTTTGGCTTGTATGTTTTAATTTGTGTTAATTAGAGTAGGAAATGTAGAGTATTACAAGGATATTTTGCTCATTAGTTTGGATAAAGATACAAGAACTATAGACACAAAAGCCTGCTGGGAAACATTGGAATTAGATACTTCTGGTAGCCTTCCCAATAGCATGATAGGTTTCCTGTGTTTCCAACAATTTACGCTCTTGAATCTAAGGGACAGTTCTACATATAGTTGAGTAATTAAAGACGTTATAAATATGTAACTATCAATACTGAAAACTCTTGTAATTATTTTTCCTCATAGTATTTTGTTTATGTGCTTCATCTTTTGGAGTTTCAGCTGTCTTTTCTTTCCTCTGCTTTGTGAAGCTGTTTTCCCCCTGGTTTTGACTTTTTATTGCTCTTGTGTTTTTATACCTGCACCTTAGAAAACAAGGATTCTGGCTAATTAATATACTGATAGAGAAAGGGATGCCCTTTTATTACAGCCTATAAAGATGAAATAGAGTGCCTTTCATCAGATAATTCACTTTAGTTGCTGGGGGGAGTCTTCTCGGTAGCAACTCCGAGACTATAAAATTCCCTCCCTAGTTGCCCTATGTGTCCTTTTCTACTGTCAGAAAAAGCTTTTTTTTACAACCCAGACCTTTGATTATTAACTGGCCACTGCAGAATGTCCTTTAATCAGGATATGCTGCTATTAATAATCATTATTATGTTTTAAATGCTCTTAGAATTAATATTAAGTTAATATTTTAATATAACTTCATTGAATTGTTTTTGACTTTGAATCTTTCCTAATTTTAGCTATAGTCTGTTTCAATTTACACTGTCGCCACTTTGGATTCTGTATTGGGAGAAAGAATGGATTGACTAAAAATAAGTAAATAAATAGAAAGAAAGGGAACCCACTCCTTTAAAATAAAATACAGGGTGTTTCAAAATGATAGATCCAATTTGAGTATAAAACTAAATGATATTACAGTATGACCCCATATATGCATAGGATATATTCCCAGACTGCATCTATAAGCAAAACCATGGATAAGCTATTGAAATGAAGGGCCTCTATAGGAAAAAATATTATTTCTTTGTGTGTGTACGTGTGTGTTGAGAGAGAGGAAGAACAAAATGATATTTTTGAATGAGGGAGTGGGACCAGTCATTCCTAAGCATAAAATATGTATTCCCTCGATGGTACAGAGGAACAGTTTACAATCATTTGGAATATATCCTCTTCTGCTTGTTCTAGATCCAGTAGCAATAGTGCCATTTGCTTTCTGTTAAATCTGCTGGATTATTCATCCTCTCGGATGTTTTGAGTTCTGTCTTGATCATGACATGAAAAGTCACAACAAATTATTTTAAAATTACGTACGTTGATGTATAAAATAGTTTCTTCCTTCCCTACATTTAATTAGTTTTAGTTAACCTGAAGACCAAATGCTTTACGGTTAAGGAAGTTCAAACGATTAACATATGCAAAAGTATGTGGGAGTATTTTAATACTTCAGAAAAGAATTTGACAATGATGTATAAGATTATGCAGCTGTTATATTAACATATATTTGTTACAGATATGCAAGCCTCTACTTCTGTTGTGCCATTGAAGATCAGGATAATGAGCTAATAACACTGGAAATAATTCATCGTTATGTAGAATTGCTTGACAAATATTTTGGAAGTGTAAGTTAACTATTTTTCTTGCATTTAATCTAGATTTATATTGCTCTTATAAGACAAGGCAGAGCAATGATTTTTCAAGGTAGATTTTTTTGCAACTCTCTGCAATAGTTCAAAAGAGTTAGGGGACCAACAGGACTGCTATGGGAAAGAGAAATTTGGCAGTGTCTCCCTTGGTAAGAAATCTCTGCTGATCTTGATTCCCTTCATAAACTGATATGTTTGTGGAGGAACTCAGTTCATATATTTTAATCACACTTTTACATTTGTATACATATTAACCTGTATATAGAAAGGTTCTTTCACATGTATATATATTCTGCACCTGAAAATCTTAACAGTATTTTGCACATTGAAAAAATATGCAGAATAAAAGAAGAAGACTGAGTTGGACTTGATTTTATGACTTTGATGACAGAATCCCTTGGCTAGCACAAAATGAGAAATAAATAAATAAATAATCTATTCTAAGCTATTACATAACATTGTTTCGCATTTTACATTTGCAACTTCTTTTCTGGAAAATGTAAAGATAATTATGGTACTAGGTGGGAATGTGGGGTGAAATACATTGTCAGCCTAATCATTATATGTTTTCTAGGTATGTGAACTTGATATTATCTTCAATTTTGAAAAGGCTTATTTCATTTTGGATGAATTTCTCTTGGGAGGAGAAGTTCAGGAAACTTCAAAGAAAAATGTTCTTAAAGCTATTGAACAGGCAGATCTATTACAGGAGGTAAGCAAATTTTATTTCTCTGTCAAAGCACACCAGCATGCTGTGCTCTTGTCTTCGAAAAGCTTTTATTCTTTTAAAAGTGTAGAAAAAGCTTTTCAGCATGTCTGGCATGTAGCTTTTACTTAATATTCTGTATACATAATTGTGTTGCCTATTTCTTGTTCTATTTCATTCTCATTCTATGCATAGAGTAATAGTAATGTTTTAAAAATAGCCTTATTTTCATGGCTTCTTTGGACTATGTTAGATGTGCAGCAGCTGCTGTCTTTATCTGTGTTTCTTGTACTTTAAGTGCTTTTTTTGTTTTTTTTTAAATTCATATTCATTTATATGATTTTTTTTATTACTTTAATGGAATGATAACTAATTTTTGTTGTACCTGATGCATGTATGCCTCTTTACTGTTTCATTGCTGAAATGCAGAAGCTAGACTCTCTTCTTTGACACTTTTTCAGGTATATTTAAAATTAATTGTGTCTTAAAAACAAGTCAGAATGCCATAGCTAAATAGATTTGCAGTAGGCTCTTAGAAAATTAGTTATATGTCTAGTCTTAGAAGTATATAAAATAGAGTAAATATGTGGTTGAAACCTTTTCTCTCAGATGCCAGCAAAATGTATAAATGTTTGAGTATCTGCTGCCTTTAGTGCACTGATTCAGAATTAAAAACAGTAGTTGAAAAATGGGGTAAGGAGTATGGAATATAATTTATTGTATTTCAAAATCTGATAACCTCCCTTGAGGGAACTAAAGGTAGCAAATAGACAAAATAAAACTCCTAGAATAACAAGCTTCCCTGCAAGCTCTCCACATTCCTTTTTGTGGCACTATAATCCTAAAGTGGCAATATAGAAGTAGTAGTCAAGATGTTTTGCAATGTAAGTCAGTTTTAGTCCATTTCTTTGTGGAACTTAAGTTAATGTTGGTTGCCTATATAAATGCAAACTTGTAGCTTTGCTATATGGACAGTAACTTATATGTGTATGTGTTTTGATCTGTTATGGATGCTTTGCTTGAGTCTGTCTTATGTTCCCTGTGTGCCTATGGTATGATTCATCAGTGAAATTTTAAGGTAGCGAAAGAACAACTTTTTCTTAAAAACATTTGTCATCAAAAATCTTTTAGTGGTTAATACTGAAGTATCATATAGAAGAAAAGGCTCAGCTTAAGATGAAAAACTTCCCACATTGAAACTGATAGTGTAGGAGTTCAGTAGCTCTCTATGGTTTGTTCATAATATACAAGAAGCACTACAAAAAAAAACTAACTTTCGTTCCCCCAAAGAAAACATGGAATGAGAAAAACAAAACAATAGATTGCCATCAGTTATGTAATGGCTGTAGCTTACTTTCTTATTTTTTGTAGGTAGCAGTTTGAAATGTCTTATGTTGGTTATTAAACCTACATTTTAATCAGTAGCTCGGTTTGTTGAGAAAAATGACTCATTTTTTTCTGGTGAATGTAAAAAAGTGATCTGCCTCTTATTACAGTTGAATAAGTCTGCCACTAATTCTCTCTGTATTCCTCACTATTGACTAAGGATGCTACACGTTTCCCCATTACATGATTCTCATTCATGCCATTATTGCATGGAGAGCCTTCCAAAATCTCTGATATGCAATGCTTCACCACCACCCCTTATCTAACAGTTTCTTGTAGTTTACATTTCGTTTATGACAATGAACTTCCTCTTCCTCCTATTTACAGTAAATTATGTAGATTGATAAGGGTGGCATCCTGCAGCAAAAATGGATATTTCACATTGTTATAATGAGAGGCTGATACCATTTTTATTTTCATTTCGTCTAGCTACTCTTATGAACTGTTGAGCAGATTCTGAGCAACTTTACCATAGGAAAGAATCTGCATGCTATTTTGTTATCATTTGATTTCAGCATTGGAAAGTTCTCTATGTATACACGTGTATATAAATCTAGAAGTGGCTGGCTCCTTGAAACAGCACCAGCACTTTCCCCTTAGAACATAGTTTGAAGTCTCAAATACCTTGTTCTCCTGGTATTTGGGATTTCAATTCCCAGAAGCCCCAGCCAGCCTGACTCTCAGGAAGTTTGGGACCTGAAGTCCAAAATACCTGGAAGATCAAAGGTTGGGAACCATTGTCTTAGAGCAACACTCAACTTATCCACGACTCATTTCAAAAGCCATAATTGCGACCCCAAAAAGTATACGTGAAGTGGACCTATTCACAAGTATATATAACAATTCTAGATTGAATCTCTTAAAGATGCCATATTTTATACAGAATCTACTAGAATTTGTTGTTTCATTTCTTTTCACTTAATTAGTTTAGACTCTTTAAGTCCCTAAAATGTGATCTACCTACGTCTGGAATTATTTGTTTAAATCAATGTTTCTCAAACTGTGCTCCTCCAGGTGTTTTGTCCTTCAGCTCCCAGAAATCCCAGCCAGCTTACAAGTTGTTAGGAATTGTGCCAGCTAAAGTTCAAAACACCTGGAGGAGCACAGTTTGAGAAACTCAGGTTTAAATTGACAGTAGCAGAAGAATATTGCATGAAAGGTCTTGGTTTTTATCTACTTCCTCAGAATTCATATAGCAGTAGAATGTTATCCTCCTGAAACCTAATTGCAAATGCTCTTATTTAGTTTTTTATATTTAGTATTCTATTGTTTATTTCTTTATTTTTATTTTTTAATATCCTGTCCTCTCTCCCTCATAGATACATTATGATAAAACATATAACAATATTAAGTGATCAAAATAAAATTATCCAGTTGTTTTAACTACAGCAGCAAAACAACACAAAAACAAAAAAGTGGGCATCACTCCCTCAGATTTCTTTAATGATATTTTTTGAAAGTTGTGGCTTTCATTGGTTTGTTAAATTACTGCACAGTTGTTTACTAAGTTCTTTGACTGAAATCGTTTTGCTGTTGTCAGTGCAATTTTGTATTTGGTGTCTGCAGGAGCAAGATGAAAAAGATCATGCGTTCAGGAAATGACAGCATTTGTCTGCCAGTTCCTAACTACCTAATTCACAATTCCTAGTTTCCGGGTGGGGAGAGTTGTTAGAGCTGAAGTTCCCAGGGTGGGATGACTTGCATAGTCATCTGTGCTACAAGACAGATGACTGTCCAAGTTGCACTTCCCAAAATGCATTCATTCAGGATAAACAGAGAAGTATGATTTTTAATGGCAGAAGCATCAGGTAGGGAGGCTTCCCCCCTTTCATCAGGCATTTTTCTGGTACTAGTCTTCTGGTATTTTTTTTTTATTTCCAACTAGAATTCCCTGGTGCATTTTTACAACTGTGAAAGTAGGTGCAAGGAAAGAATAGTAGAATGGTTACATACTATATCCCTCTTAATCCTTCCCTCTAAACATGCAACTTCTCCCATTTTTAATTCATTTAGAAAAACCAAGGTCTTCTGATCGCACTCAGCCAAAATACAATAAAAATATTTAATAGAGACTATCTGAAGTATTTTTCCATGTCACTTTTGTGACTTTTGTACAGACACGACATGGAAAAACTGTATCTCCATTTCAGGGTGCTTTGGTAATGATGCCAGGCTGCAAAGATCATATTCAAAAACCAAGTTATATATGAGCAAGACAGAATTCTAATATAATAGGCTTAATTGTGTGTTTCTGTGTATGTATGTGTTAAAACAATATTTTTCCTACATCATATTGTCTTTCATACATTATTCTGCGTTCTTGGGACATAGGATCAAAGCCTAGGTTAATGTGAAAAACATTCCCTTAATGTATGTATTTGAAACTTATAAAAACTGCTTAACAGGGCATTGGGAGTGTCCAGAGGGAGATGTATATTTTTAAACTGCTTGCATAATACATGAAATAAGTAGTTCTCTTGTGAAGTAAAGCTGTTTAATCCTCATTACAAAGCTTATGCTTTGAGTTAGGTAACTGTCAAAAATAGTTTCATGTTTTTACCACTGATCACAGAAATAATCTTAAAAATATGCCATGCAGAAAAGGATTTTGAATTAAAACCTTCAGTAGTCAATTCCATTGTCTCGCTACTTGTGTCTTAATACAATTATACTAAAAGGAACTACACATTTATTTTAATTTATTAAAATATTTATGTACCTCCCTATATCTAAAATTTCATGGTGGCATTCAGTTAGGGTATGTTTGTGTCTACCTGTATACATTTTGCTGTTTGTTGTTAGTATATTTAACTTTCAACATTTGCAGATTTTAACTTTTGTGGATTTGATTAATATGTTCTTTTAAGGAATCTCTAGATTGTTCAGTGCAATTCTATCATCAGCTTCAGTTGGATGTTGATCATAGAGACCACCTGGAGAACCTAGCAATCTCTAAGATGTGTTCTCTCAAGTAAAAAATATTATCGTTTTTAAATTCACATTTTTAAAATTTGCCATGTTCCCCTTCCTCCCATGAAATTGGAGGTTCTACTATACTAAAGTTAATTTATAGTTTAATTGCCATTGCAGAGAACCAAGAACTATATTTTAGGGCGCATGTTGGGTGCGAGTGAGGGTCTAAGAATAAAATGAGCTCCTTGGAAATTGATGTTCAGCTTCATTCATCTTTTAGGATGAAAGGAAGCAAGTATCTGCAGCCATCACATATATTTTGACTCTTACACATGCACTCATTGTGTTCAGAGTAACTACTATAAACTTAAACTTGTAAAAAGATTTTTGCTATGTTGAATCCTTATTTTTTGTGTGTGGAGTTCACTGCAATTTTGTCTTGTTAGTGTTTTCATTAACTTTGTCTTGAAAACATTAATGTTTTAAGCAGTGCAGTGAAGCCAGTTGCTTGAGCAGCCCTCATATGTATAGATTTTGTGACAGTGGATTTTATTTTATATATGGCTAATTTTGCAACATTAAAAATGTTATACTATGAAATTTTCATTATGCTTGATTTTGTTTGTAGAGCCAGAATGAAGACTGGGGAGGTTTGTCTGAGGATATCTTATGATTAAGAGCAATCTAAAGGCTTAGCGTTTTGATCC